TGAACTTGAGCAATGATTCTGCAAAGGTGGCCGTTGTTAAAGGAAAAATTTATGCTGTTGAAGGTGACCCCTGTAAAACTGTTATGAAGAGGTACAATGTTGAGAAGTATACATGGGAGACACTTCACACATCTCATGGACAGTGCAGAAAGAATGCTTGTGTTGTTGCAGCCGGCAGCCATCTCTGCATGTTGGGTGGGAGGAATCAAGTCACATGGGATTACTCTGCAAAAGCTGAGATATTTGATACCGTGGAGAACAAGTGGGAGGAAATCGCAGACATGCCAGAAGAAAGAAGCCAAGCTTTTGGAGTGGTCTGTAAAAGAAAAATCTTCGTTGCTAGAGGAACAGACTGGACATGGAGCGTAGAAACTTCTGAGATGTACACTGCATCGACAAACGAGTGGCAATATGTTGCGAGCTTCAGTGCTTCACGTTCTTATGGTAATATGGTTTGTCTGAAAGGAAAGCTGTACGTACTGGGTGGATCAAATGAGAGGAACCAAACTGTACTGAGTGTTGAATGTTTTGACACTGCAAACGACTAATGGATCCACAAAACAACCATACCAGTGGTCATCATCGACCCAAGAAATAAATATGAATTCACTGGCACTACTCTTAAACCATCCAGAGAACTACTAGACAAATTAAAGATTGTCGCAATTGGGGAGTAGTCTCCCAGAAATTTAAAACCTGTGGAATTAGAGAGCCTAATATGGAGATTATGGTGTAGAGTAGGTATAAGCATTTCACCTTTATTGGATTTTTATACCAGCTTACCTAATGAAATGCGAAGTCGTACACATGGGAAGTACTTCACTCATCTGGTGGAGAGTGTGGAGTGAATGCTCGTATTACTGCAGCTGGCATCCATCTGTGTATGTTGGGAAGGAAGGATCCAAACACAATGTTATCCGTCGCGAGGGTTTAAGAGATTTGACACTTGAAAACAAATGGTAGGAGATTGTAGACATGCTCGAAGTACGACTAAACGCTTTTGGAGTGGCTTCTCAAGAGAAAATCCTCGCCACTAGAGGATTACGCAAAGAGGAATTATTGAAAACTTGCGAGATGTACGATACGTCAACAAACCAATGGCAACTTGTTGCAAGCTTGAATGATCCAAGATATTACGGAAGTATGGTTCGTCTGAAAGTAAAGCTATACATACTAGGAGAAGGAATGAAAGAGGCCAAACTGAACTGAGTGTTGAATGTTTTGACACTGTTAGAGACAAAAATAGCACAAAAATAGCACTAGTCACCTCAAACCCGTTGTTTGGCTGTGTTCTGAGACTCACCAGAAAACTACTCGAGGGAGTAGTCCCTCAAACGCACTATAGCCTCGAAATAAAAGAGCTTAAATATGACATTCACGACAAAGGGCGAGCAAACAAAGTTCATCGTGTATGATACACGATGATCTTTGTTTGTCTGCTCTAAGGATTAACTCGAGGAGGGGCCGGAAAAATTCAAAGGTCATACTGCGGTGATCGCTTTTTGTTGTTAATCTCATAATTAAACTCTGTATCGCAACATGGTAGGTATAGGCACGTGGCAAGCATTGGATTGCTACATCATTACACTTGATTCCTGTTAGACATCCTTACAGTCAAAAGCGACTCTTCATTGTGTTAATGGGCTCATTAACCCTTTAGAGCCTAACATCAGTAGGCATATTCTCCATACTGTTTTCTATACATTTTATAGGGTGCTGACAAGGAGAATTTGTTTTACTATCAAAAGCTTCCTCAGTCAGTGATCTTTCCCTTTATTCTCCTGACCTTAATGTGTGATTCAGGGGTGATATTGACCCCATATGCATTCACCCCACTCTAATTATATTGTGTTTATTCTAAGGGATTCTGCAAATATTTTTAAATTTTATGGAGACTGTTGCTAACTTTGAGTTATCACTTCAGTCAAATAAAATCGCTTTAAGTCGCCTTAAATCGCCTAAAGTCGCAACGTTTTTTCTACCAATTTGCTTAAGTCGCCTTAAATTGCCCAAAGTTACGGCTACTTAAGGCCCCAGAGTAGGCCTCGAGGGTTTGAGAGATTTGACCTTTGAAAACAAATGGGAGGAAATTGTAGACATGCTCGAAGTACGACTAAACGCTTTTGGAGTGGCTTCTCAAGAGAAAATCCTCGTCACTAGAGGATTATGCACTGGGGAAATATAGAAGAATTGCGAAATGTACAATACGTCAAAAAAACCAATGGCGACTTGTTGCAAGCTTGGATTTTCCACGATACAACGGAAGTATGGTTAGTTTGAAAGGAAAGCTATACATACAGGGTAGAAGAAATGAGAGGGGCCAAACTGTACCGAGTGTTGAATATTTTGACACAGCTAAGGACACATGGATCCTTACAACAAAAATACCAGTCACCTCATACCCGTTATTTGGCTGTATTCTGAGACTCACCAGAGAACTACTCGACAAACTAAAGGTTGCTGGGGAGTAGTCCCTCAAACGTACTACAGCCTCGAAATAAAACAGCTTAAATATTACGTTCACGACAAAGGGCGTGCAGGGAAAGATCATCGTGTATGATACAAGATGATTTTTTTTTTACTTGTCCAAAGATCAACCCGAGGAAGAGCCGAAAAAGACCAAAGGTCATCCTACGACGGCCACTTTTTGTTGTCAATCTCATACTTAAACTCTGTATGCAACATGGCATTTATAGGCACTAGACTGCTAAATCATCACACTTGATTCCTATTAGACACCTTTCCAGAGATTCCTCCTCTGAGTCATAACGGACTTATCATTGCGTGGATGGATGAATGGACCTACTATGGGGCTTACCAGGACGTAGAATACTCCTCAAATCTAGGATTAAATTTCCTCCAAACCGAAAACCCGTTAAGAGTAATAATACACACTGAGGTTAGATGATGAGGTGCAGGAACCAGATAAGCAAATAACAGAAAGTGTAAAATCTTAAAAAAAAAAAAAAAAGAGAGAGAGAGAAATCATTGTCAAGAAAAAAAAGCGTCTTAAGCTACATGGAGTCCTAAACTCGAAATGCAACGTTTATAGTTCGAAAAAAATGTCTCGAAAATAATTCATTTCGGTAAACTGGAACGCCTGACCCCTTTTTCATCGAGCCGAACAGGTGAAGTCTTGATTTATTGAAGGTATTATGATTTTCTGAAGAAATGAAGCGAACACTGCACTAACTGAATGGATAAACATTGCTAATTTACGTCATTAAGAAAAAGCGAGGGGAAAACTTGTGAATATAATACCTTTAATGTGAATGATTGTTTTGTTTTTTTGTTTTTATCGAAATGGGATTTGGCAAGTATTTTAAAGTCATTCAGTCAAATCGAATTTCGCACGTTTTGCTGAAAATCATAGTGAATTTTCTATCCTTCAGTGATTAAGTATTATTCTCCTTTTGTTCGCAGCTCTGTTTTTATATAAATTCTCGTTGCAAAAGTGAAATTTAAGTGGAATTCCTGGGAAAGAAAACAACTCCTTCTACATGTAACTCAATATTTCTGCAACGTTTGAACAATAGGGTCCTTCTGTCATCCCAATCAATAATCCCTATGCCGTTATGCCCACAATGCTTTTCAATCAGTCATCAGTTATTAAATTTAACCCGGCGGGGGGGTGAAGGATTTCAGGGGATCAGATGATTTTCAAGGGAAATGGGGGGGGGGTCAGTTCTCGCCATTCGCCAACGGAGTATAAAGCTGGGACAATAGAAAATTGACTGCCTCTTAACTGAAAATGAGGGGACCATAGAACACTAGAAGGCCTTACTATGATGGGGTATCTATGCTGTTATACCCACATGTCTTTGTGTGATTTTGGGGTGATAATGTGGGGAGAAATTCGATATCAAGTCCTCTAAGTGTCAAAGAGTAAAGAGAAATAATTGCCAAGGTGAAGGAATGTTTTCAGTTGCAATCATTTTCTCTTGATGCAATCTAGCTACCTTTCGCTTTTAATGATAGTAGAGAAGTCAAGTTGATTATAGACCCCTTTCATAAATGACTGCCGGATTAATATTCTTTTGTTTGAATTTAAATCAGCCTATCTGGCGTCGTTCTCCAGTATAAAATTCAAAAGAATACATTATCTTAAGCGAGGCCAGAAAGGCTAATTTGAATTTAAACAAAAGAATATTAATCCGGCAGCCATTTTTGAAAGTGGTCAATACTTAGCTAAAAAATACGCAGAACAGAGAAAAAAGAAACTAGAAGGTACGTATTTTTAATGACATGCATAATCCAAATAATCACCTAATAGTGTAGGCATTCATATAACATCCGTGTAAATCTTGTTCCCCAAGTCATCGTTCCATTCCAAATTTGCCTCGATGTGGGCCTTGAGGAAGACTAGCCTGTAGTGCAGGCGGATTTTGGCGGGGCGAGTGGATATCTCCATCGGTTGTTCTGGCCGCCATCTTGAATTAGAAAAACAGTGGAAAGTTGGGGCGAGGTAAAACGTTACCCAGCTGGTGGGAGGGAGAGAGAAAAATTGGGGAAGGGAGAGAGGGAGGGGGAGGGGAAAGAAAAATGGTTTTTCTTCCCCGTCCCCCCACCCACTCCGATATTCTCGCATTCTCGCCGCAGTTCTGCCGGTCTGCAGCGAATCCAACACGGCGGCTAAACACTCGAAAGATGAAAACCACCAAAACTGCCTGCACTGCAGGCTAGAGGAAGACAGAGGAAGACTGAAGAAGTGAACCAGAGAAGCAGAGCTGGATACTTTAATTTGTATTCCAAACCTGTGACAAATGGGCGTGTTCACGTCGTTTTTCTCACTTAATCCCTCTTACTTATCGTATGTTTCTGGAGCGCATCTCAAACCGGGTAAGCTTCGTCGATTTTTCCTACTCGTCTCTTAGGGGATCCTGGGATTGAAACTCGCGGGAGAGTTTAGTAAGACGCAAAGAATTTCCGCTTTCGGTATCTTCGTCGCTAATAGATAATTGGAGGGATCTGTCCTCGCAAACAAGGGTATCCTGTAGAAGATGGAAGATTTACAGCCAATGTCAGCAGTTGAGCAAACTTCTTTCTGTGTGGAATTGATGAAGCGCCTGAACATTCAGCGAAAACAAGATTATTTGTGCGACATTACTTTGGTGACGAACGACGACAGAGAGTTTAAGGCTCACAGAAATGTTCTTTCCGCCGCAAGTCCGTTCTTTTGCAAGCTTCTGCAGAGCGACATGAAGGAGAATCGAGAAGGAATCGTTCGATTTGAGGAGATCTCAGGATCTGTTATGGAAGATATTTTGGAATTCGTCTACACAGGAACTGTGGAAGTAACTCAGGAGAATGCTAAGGAATTGATCGCCGCTGGGAACTACCTGATGATGCCGAGCTTGAAAACAGTTTCGGGGCGATTTTTGGATCAAGAAATGTCCATGTCTAACTGCATTTCAACTTTTTATTTTTGCTGAGAAATACGATTGTGGTGAGCTTATTGATAATAGTCAGGAATTCATCCTTTCAAACTTTTTGTCCGTAGCGACAATGCCTGAATTCTTACGCTTAGATGTTATAGAAACGGAACGGTGGCTATCAAGTGATGACATTGCGGTCGAAGTGGAAGCAGATGTTTTTAAGATAATTTTAAAGTGGATTGAACAGAATAAAAGTGAGCGGAAAGGAGTATTGGAAAAGTTGTTTCGTGACGTTCGAATGGACTTCTTATCGGGTGAGTACTTAATTGATGTCGTGACGAACGAATTTGTCCGAGAAAACTTTGTTTGTTTAAAGACTGCTCTGGATGCGTTGAAGAGGGCCACCTTTTCAGATGAAGATAGCCAACCTCAATCACCGAGAAAAGGGTTCGAAACAAGCGCTATTGTGGCTTGTGGAAGAGGATACCTCTTTTGTTACCTTCCTGAGAAGAACGAGTGGAAGCGTTTAGCCGACAGGCCCGACGGCTGCCCTGAGCACTTGGAAACTGACCCCGTTGTTAAATGTCGTGGCCAGCTGTATGCTTTTCAAGCTGCTGACAATGTGATGAGATATGATCCAGTTGTTAACAGTTGGTCTACACTGGACCTTTACGTGGACGATGCTGACTACAAGATAGTTGTCGTTAGAGGAGAAATTTATGCTGTGGGGATGGTTGATGGTGAAGACAAAACCACGGTCATAAGATATAATGTTGAGCTGTGTGCATGGGAAAGTTCTCTTGTCTCACGATGGCTACAGAACTGATGCTTGTGTTGTTGCAGCTGGAAGACATGTCCATGTGATTGGTGGGGGGCCTTGGGAAGGTCAATTCGTTGCTAAAGCTGAGAGATTTGACACTGTGGAAAACACATGGGAGGAAATTGCCGATATGAAGGAAGAAAGAGGCGGTGCTTTTGGAGTGGCCATGAAAGAAAAAATCTTTGTTGCTGGTGGAAGGCACAGAGAGGGAAACTCATTATTGCAAACATGTGAGATGTACAATATTTTAACAAATGAATGGCAACTTGTTGGGAGCTTGAATGCTCCTTGTGAATATGGCAACATGATTTGTCTCAACCAAAAATTGTATGTCCTAGGTGGAAAGAATGAACAAAATCAAGCTGAACTGAATATAGAATGTTTTGATCCAACAAAGGCAAAGTGGATTCAGAGGACAATCGTACCCGTGACGAAGTTTAAGAAAGGAAATAAGAACACATTCTGTGGGTGTGTACTGAAGCTTTCCAAAGGAGTGCTGGATAGACTCAGTGTTGTTGGGGAGAAGCCCCTTGGTTAATTTTTCCTTTGGAGGTGACTCATTACAATTAGGTAGTTAACAAATCAAAATTGGTTTAGCGTGATCAGTACTCTTAAAGTCTGATCTTTTAAGTACTTGTTTCTTCTGGTGACTTAGTTTTTTTTTT